TTCTAATCTAATCAAGTAAATGAACTAACATATATCTAATTTTCTAAATGAGATGCAAATCTAAATGTCATATTTCGACATAGGGATGAGAGAGGTAATATATAGGAAATACCATGCAAGATGAGAAAATATCCTAAAAATATAAAATATGTATGAAATGCGATGAATATCACGCAAAAAGAGTGAATCTAGGTCAAGATGGCCTAAAAGGTCTAGCATTGGACTAACCCATTTTTACAAGTCTTCACTAGCGTTAGACTAGCGAGAAATCGGGGAGAAAACCCACAACTAGCGTTGGACTAGTGTGGTAATGTCATACATTTATTATAAACAAATAAATTATATAAAATATAATTAGAGCAAATAAACACATAATGCACATAGAACACATAATACATAAGCATAATTTCCAGATGCAAAACCCTAATGAAAATGAATAAATACGTAAACACACAAGCATGCAAGCACACAAGCAAATAAAAGCAAATAAAAACCTAACTATTATATTCGGGACCCTAATTACAATCTAAAATGGGAAAATTTTAAAATAATAACCTAACTATTACATTTATCTAACTAAATACATTTTTAGTAAAAATTAAAACCTATCTATTACATAGGCTAGCTAAATACATATCCTGAACATCTATCTATTACAACTTGGCATTTAAACGCCTCACAAATAATCATCAAAATTAAATAAAGGAAATGAAATTTAAATGAATAAAATGAATAATTAAAACACTCAAAACATGTAATTATACATAAAAAACACATTGGAGCACATAAAAGAATTTAAAATAATAAAAGAGATTATCTCCCTTGAAGTTATGTTTAAATGAGGTGAAATTTGCCCTATTTATGCTCCAAAATCAACAAAATAATCAAGACACCAATTTAATTATAAAGAAATGGGAATAATCATAAAATCTATCAATTAAAACACTTAAATGAAGCATAATTAACAATTAAAGAAGAAAATTAACTTGTATTTAAGAAATCAAAACTACCAGGGATCTAATTGCAAAAATTAAGAAAATTTTTAGGGGCAAATTATAATTATTACAAAAATTAAGGGTCAAAATCAAAGAAAAAAGTTTAGGGACAAATTGTAATTAAATTAGGAACCTAATTGAAAGAAATTCAAAGTTTTTGGGTCACAATAAGATTACTCAAAAGTACAAGGACCAAGTTGCAATTTTTGGATCTGGTTTTCATATTTTAACCAGCCATTGAGCCATTCATTTATTTTCTTGGGTCAGGAGCCACTTAGCCCAACCGAAAGTTCAAACAAAACAAATAGGTATCCAAACCCAATCGAAATTCAACCAAAATCACTAACAACACACTATCTAAAGTCCAGCCAAAATTCAATCAAAATAAACCAATGACGCAAAAACTAGCTTTCTTACAAAACCCAACAAAATATTAAATCAACTAAAAATATTAAATCCTAATCATGCCCAAAAGTCCAAAATTAATCTATCCAAAAACATAATTAAAATATGCAAAAGATGATTAAAACTTAAAAGGGATCAAAATGGTTCATTTGTAGAAGTTTTGGGGCTACAGTAGAATTATACAAAAGTTGGGGGGTCAAAATGAAATTTTTAGAAAATCCCATGCATCTTGTTCGGAGCATTCTTTCTGCAACTCTCTGGGAAGACTTCCTCCTCAACAAAACAATGGGAGCTTTATGGTTAAGCCTTTTTTTAGTGACTTTTGAAATAGTCTTTTTTACATAAAATGATTTTTACAACATCAAAAGCAGACTTAAAGTTTCAAACAAGATCCTAATCAGCATAAATATCAATCAAAATCAAATTTTGCAGTCCAAGAACAAGGCTGCAAGTTTCATAACATGTTCGCATCAAACATCAAACCAAAACTCTCATGAGACCCTATCCAAACGTATAAAACAAATCAAGGAGTCTTCCTAGACCCAAACGTTTGAATATTAAGAAAAAGTTGAGATCTTTAATCCATTAAACAAGTTTTTGTTTCTTTTGCATATTAAAGGAACCCAGCATGACAAGGAAATCCCACAAAACCGGATTCCAATAAGACAAATAAAAAGGCCGAAGTTTAGAAACGTCTATTTGGGTGTATCGGTCAAAAATGAATTAAAACGAACAGGTTTTGAGAATGCAAATTTGATTTCAAACTCCAAGAATTTCGGAAACTAGGGTTAGTTTTCTTCCAGCTTTGGCGTCGAATTTGATAGCCTTAAAGTTGTTTTCTCCCGAAACCTTCAACACAAAAGTTCTTCGCCTACATCTATAGAGTATGCAAAAAAAAAAGAATCGATGAAAAAAAAGCTAAAACGAAAGAGAAAATGGCATCCAAAGATGGCTGCTCGATCAACCCGACTTTTTCTGCAGAAAATTTTTTCTTCTCCTTTTTCGTTCTCTCTCTTTTGCTGTTTTTCTTTCCTTCCTCGCCACTCTCTCTTTCTCTTGTCTGTTAGGGCTGTGTTTCTATCCCTTTATATGGAGCCAAAACTCCCCTCCAACCCTAATGTCAATCGGTGCGATGAAACAGGTTTTTGCTGGTTTCTTTATAGTCATTCGATGGCTTTAATTCTAGAAAGATCTTGGTATGGATTAGGGGAATGAGGTGGCAAATGGTTGGGGAAAAAGAAAAAACAAAAAAACAAGTGGAATTGGGCCAAAGATGGTTGCTGCAATTCGAGACAAAGATGTAGACACCAAATTACTTACCTGTTTGCTTCAACTGTGATTGAAACGACTAGCAAAACCTAATTAATCAGAAAACCTGAAGCTAGAAAATAAAAGGAGTGGTGGGATAAAATCCAAACCTAACAAAAATAACCATTTGTGGGATAAAATCCAAACCCAACAAAATAAAGGTTGGTGGGACAAAACCCAAACCCAACAAAATAAAGTGTCGGTGGGATAAAATCCAAACCCGACAAAATAAACGTTCGGTGGGATAATACAGTTGGTGGGATAAAACCCAAACCCGATACGGTTTGTGTGATAAAATCCAAACCTGACAAAATAAAGGATCGGTGGGATAAAACCCAAACCCGACAAAATAAACATTCACATGAAGATTGTGTTTGAATCAAAAGGTGTGAAATGATTTTTGTTATTTTTCTAAACAAATATTGAATTTACTTATTGAATCAGATATTAACTTTGTAATAAAATTGCCCCAATGTAGATTAGACTTGACTGAATAATTGCTAATTTTCTGTTCCTTCAAGAAACGTGTGTAGTTTAATCCTGCAAAAGAGAATAAAATAATTACGACAAAATATAGTGCCTCCACTGTGCGGTCCCTTACGTCTTGAGAAACATGTATATTTTGATATCAATTAACTGTTCGATTCGAAAATCTTGTATAATCCTCCTTCGACCTGCTAGTATCTGTGCTCGGTCAACTGTGTTTAGACCATAAGAAACATGTTTATGCATCAAATACGATAAATTATAGGGATTGTTTCTTGACCGAATTTAAAGAAATAAAATAAAAATTTTAGACAATTATTTCATGCAAAGACTCCAAAATAGAGTAAAATAATTTTTCAACGAGATGATTCTTATTAAGTTTTACAGAACAACTTGAAGACAAATTTGAATGGTTCTTCTATATGAGAAAACGTCACATTTGACCTCTTTGGATATCGCATTCTTGAATATTCACCGTTGCCAAAGAGTCTCAATACAAGAATAATCCCAAACGAACATAGTCACCAGTTTCTTAACAGTCGACCCTCAATTTTCCATTTTCAACTCAGTCAATGACTCCAAACCCTACCTTAGTGCCCTTTCGGGTTTTCATTAAGGTTGTCCCCGCCCATTTATTTTTCTTTTGCTTTTTGTTCCTTTTTTCTTTTTCTCTCTCTTTTTTTTCTTTTTTTCTTCATTTTCATTTTTTTTTCAAGTTTTATTTTCTTCGACTTTTTTTTAGAAAACGCCCTTTCGGGTTTTCATCTATTGAACAAATTTAACAGCAGCCTTTATCGATTCAAAAATATGTTTCAAAATTAATGGTATCAGTGTGACAATCCTTCACCTGCAAAATTGGTAAAGGTGTGTCGACATTATTTGTCATTTGATTAAGCAATTTTCATTAGAAATACTACTAAAGTGGAGGTCGAGACTTTATGATCTTTGTAACGGAATCAGGTGTGGTGTTAAGAAATGTTAAGACTCGAAGGCAAATTTTAAAGAATTTAAAAAATCCTAAGACCGCATCCTATAAGTTCTTGCCCCAATGTAAAGCTAGAAAAAATTGCCTCAGTTTGGGCATTTTTTTTATTACAAATGAAAGATAAAATTTGCCCTAGTGTGGGGTTTGCGATTTTTAGGAAACTCTCAAACGAAGGAGTAGATTATTCTAGAGGTTCAAAGGGGAGAATTAGGGATAAAATGTTCAAAGGGAAAAGAAGAAGGCCCATCTTTTAGTCCACCTTAAGCCGTATTTCGAAAAAAAATTCACATAATCAGATAAAAAACTTCTTCCACATGTCTGAATTGATTGGTTGAGGAAAAATCTGTTCGTCCATCTCTGTGAGAATGAGTGCTCCTTCGGGCAATATCTTTTTGACAATGAAAGGTCCTTGCCAATTTGGGGCAAATTTTCCTTTAGCTTTGTATTGGATGGGAAGAATTCGTTTCAAGACTTTGTCCCCTTTTTGAAATATGCGAGGTTTGACCTTTTTATTGTAAGCACGGGCATTCGCCTTTGATAGCACTGTCCGTGGCAAACAGTATTTAACCGTTTTTCATCAATCAAAGATAGTTGCACGTGTTGCTGTTTAATCCATTCAGTTTCCTCCAGTTAAGCTTCCATTAAGATGCACAAAAAGGGGATCTCAACCTCCATGGATAATATCGCTTCCATATCGTACATGAGAAAATAAGGTGTTGCCCCAATAGAAGTTCTTATTGCAGTCCGATAAGCCATTAATGCATACGGCAGCTTCTCATGCCAATCTATGTGTCTTTCCGTCATTTTGCGAATGATTTTCTTCACATTTTGTTCGCGGCCTCTATCGCTCTGTTCATCTGAGGCTTGTAGATAGCCGAATTCTGGTGTTTGATCTTGAATTGTTCGCATAATCCATCTACCATATCATTATTGAAGTTTCTGGCATTGTCAGTGATCAGCGTCTCTTGCATCCCAAAACAACAGATAATATGGTCCCTTAGAAAATCGGATACTACTTTATTGGTCACGCTCTTGTAAGATGTTGTTTCAACCCATTTGGTGAAATATTCGATTGCCACCAGGATGAATCGATGCCCATTCGAAACTGGGGGATCAATAGTTCTAATCACATCCATTCCCCATATCGAGCAGGACCACGGAGCGGTCATACTATGTAACTCGGTAGGAGGGACATGTATAATATCGGCATGCATTTGATACTTAATACATTTCCTGAAAAAATCTACACAGTCATGCTCCATAGTGAGTCAAAAATATCTCGTTCCCATGATTTTCTTAGCTAGTAAGTACCCATTCATGTGGAGTCCGTACACACTACTATGCACCTCTTTCATCATATATTTAGCTTCCTCTCTATCGATACACCTTAGAAGGCCCAAATCTGATGTTCTATTACATAACATCTCTCCATTCAGGAAAAATTTTAATGACATTCTGCGCAAGGAGCTTTTAACAGATGAATCGGTGCCTGGGGGATGAGATCCCGTCTTTATGAATTCTTGATGGCGCTATACCACAGGCGATCGTCAGATATCTCTCTCACAACCAAACAATGTGCCGGCTTATCTTGGAGTTAAATCTGAATAGGTTCGATTACCAGCTCGTCCGGGTATCGAATCATAGAAGACAAAGTGGCCAGAGCATCGGCGAAAACATTGCGAGTGCGAGGGATATCCCTGAAGTCCAAACTTCTGAATTTATTGGCCAAACTGAGCAGACTACAATGATATGACATGATTTTTGAATCTCGCGTCACCCACTACTTGAGCGTTTGATGCACCAACAAATTGGATTCATTGAACACAATCAAGTCCTTTATCTCCATCTCCAATGCCATTTTTAGTCCAAAAATACAAGTTTCATACTCATCCATGTTGTTAGTACAAGGAAATCGTAATTTAGTAGCGGCAGGGTAATGGTTTCCCTCAGGTGACACTAAAACAGCTCTGATTCCGGCTCCAAAAGAATTTGAAGCGTTATAAAAGAATAACCTCCACCCAGGATATTGCTCATTCATATCTTCTGATGCGCCAATAAATAAGATCTCCTCGTCAGGAAAATAGGTATGCAATGGCTGGTAATCATCTTCTCTTAGATTCTCGGCCAAATGATGTGCTGTAACTTGACCCTTGATTGCCTTCTGCGTAGTGAAAATGATATCGAATTCTGAAAGAATCATCTACCACTTCGCCATACGTCCCATCAGCATAGGTTTTCGTAACAAATATTTCAGAGGGTCGAAGTGAGAAATGAGGTAGGTAGTGTGACTGAGCAAGTAATGCCTCAAATTCTAAGCGGCCCAAGTTAAAGTACAGCAACTCCTCTCAAAAAAGGAATAGTTGGTCTCGTACGCGGTGAACTTCTTACTAAGGTAATAGATGGATTGTTCATTCTTTCCCGAATCGTCATGTTGTCCCAATACGCATCTCATAGTCTCATCCAGCACAGACAATTTTTGATCTTATCTAAAGCTTACTGACATTCATCGTTCCAGTGCATTGGTGCATTCTTCTTTAATAATTTGAAGAAAAGTTCACATGTAGAGGTTAATTGAGAGATAAATCTGCCGATAAAATTGATCTTTTCCAAAAAACTCTTCACGTCCTTGTGAGTTTTCGGTGTGGGCATCTCTCGAATTGTTTAGATTTTTGTCGGATCAATCTCAATTCCCTTTTTATTGATAATGAACCCTAACAATTTACCGGCGGTAGCCCCAAAAGCACAATTTGGAGGATTCAGTTTCAAATTTTATTTTCTCAACCTTTCGAGCAGTTTCTTTAAGTCAACCAGATGATTATCAACTTTTTTGGATTTAATGATAATGTCATCCACATAACCTTTCATCTCCTTATGAATTATATCGTGGAACAAAGTGGTGATGGTCCGTTAATAGGTGGCTCCGACATTTTTTAATCCGAACAACATTACCCAATAGCAGAAGTTTTTCATGGAGTAATGAAAGCAATCTTTTTTCTATCTTCTTTGAACCTTAGGATCTGGTGATACCTAGCGAAATAGTCACTGAAAGATTTAATTTCATGCCCCGCAGTATTGTCCAGAAGAATATGAATGTTCGGTAGCAGAAAATCATCCTTCGGACTAGCTTTATTGAGATCTCTGCAATCGACACATACTCGCACTTCTCCACTTTTTTTTCGGAACAGGTACAGGATTTGAAAGCTAAATGGAGTAATGAGATACTATGATGATTTTGGCATTCAGCTGCTTCTTGATCTGCTCCTTGATTTTAAGACTTATATCTGCTTAAATTTGCACGATTTTTTCTTTACTGGTGAAAAATTTAGATCGATTGGTAATCTGTGAATCACTATGTCTGTTGAAATTTCGAGCATATCATCATACGACCATGCAAATACATCTTGGAACATGGTTAAAAATTTGATCATCTCTTTTCTCTGCCCCTTATTTAAGTGCACGCTGATTTTGATTTCTTTAACCTCCGTCTTAGTGCCAATGTTAATGATTTCTGTCTCTTCTAAATTCGATTTGGGTTTCTCTTCATAATACTCAAGAATCTTTGAGATAGACTCAGGCTCATCCTCGCTATCACTCTCATTTTGAATTTCAAATTTCATAACTTCAAATTCGTGAAAGATATCGAGTTGGCAATTATTGAATTTCAGAACAGTGATATCTAAAGGGTCAAACGATTTTATTTTTGGCCATCTGAAAATAAAGTAAATATGCACAATAAATAAGTAAAAAATAATAAATATGGACAAAATCTTCCATTTCATTAAATTTAAAGAAGCAGATAGACATTGGAATAAAGACAAGAACCTTGCAAGCTGAAATATTAGTTAAAACCAACACATTCCCAATAAAATTATGCAGTGAGAACGGACTTTCATTTAAATAAAATGCGTATTAACATGACATTGAGAGAAAATAAATAACTAAAAATAAAGTAGCTTTTGTCATTGATTTTGGCAAAAAACAACCTCCTAATTTTACCAAAATTTCTTTCGAGAGGGAAGGTAATCTGCAGGCCAATTTTGTATGGCTTCTTTAGAGTTGGTTGGGAACTCCATTTCTTCTGGTGGCTCGTCCTTATAGGTGACTCCAACAAATAACTGAGACAAGCCCATTTCAATCTCTTCGATCGGGCATTCTTCATCCAATTCTGACAGGATTACTCCAGATGGCCGAGGAAATATGTAGTGTAGCTGCCGGACACTCATAGCAATCTGTTTTCCTTCATTTTCTACCTTTTTGTGAGCTTGCATCTTTTTCTTGTCCTTGGCAGTCGGTTGGAATTTCAATCCAAACGTGTCTTTCTTCCCAAAAAGTTCTGTAGTCTCCAAAATACCTTGTAAATTCTGCCCCAAATCTTTGCCTATCTGATACCCTCCTCTTATCATTTCCTTGGCCATCATGACGCTAGCTTCTGATCAATAAATTTTGTTCAGATGCCCGACCTACGGACACGATGTCAGCCACATGATGGGAGGAAACCAAAGTTTTTACTACCATTCTCCTCCTTCGATGCAGAATAAATGATCATAGTGCAATCAACCTCGGCGAACACAGTGATAAGCTGATCATTGACAATGAACTTCACTTTTTGGTAGAGAAAATGTGGAATGAAGCTAGAAGTGTGAATCCAAGGTCATCCAAGTAGGATGTTATATACACTTGAAAAGTTCAGAACTTGGCAAACCGCTTGAAATTGGGCGGGCCCTATCTCTTTTTTTTTTTTGGTTGCCCGCCCGGTATCCGAAGCTTTGCCCCGACTAATCCGGACCCGACCTGCGTCGCGCACCTGGCTATGGTGGGTGAGTCTCCTAACAGGGGTGTCTGCGTACACTAGGACTCGAACACGAGACCTGCTTAAGCGAATCCGAACCGCTTACCACTCGGACCAACACCTGTTAGTGGGCCCTATCTCTAGTTCTAAGTCAATTTCGCCCACTGATTCCCTTCTGTCTCCGTCAAACCCTTTTATTATCGTGGCAGATGGTCGCAACCTAGTATCCAGAAGTCCAAGTTTTACAAAAGTATTCCACGAATAGATGTTTAAAGCGGATCCATTATCTATCAAAACTCTCGGTAGCAGCTTTCCATTACACCTTACTGAGATATATAATGCCTTATTATGTTCGATCCCTTCAGAGGTTAAATCTTCATCTGAAAAGGTTATGTGATTAGCAGCCAACACATTCTCTACAATGTGAGCGAATTTGTCAACTGGGATATTCTTCAGTATTTGTGCTTCCTCTAGGACCATGAACAATGTATCTTTGTGTAATTCAGATGTTAAAAGCAAATCCAGAATGGATGCTCGCGCAGGTATTTTGTCCAACTGTCCCATGACATTAAACTCGCTCCTTTTCAGCAATTTAAGAAAATCTAATGCCTCTTCTCGGTCTCAGATGATTTGGATGGCATCAAATTCTCCTCCACAATCTTTCCAAATTTAATGACGGTAACCCCCTCCTCTTTTGGTACTGCGATATCCCCAATCAACAAAGCAGACTCACTATAATTTCATGATACTTCTTGCAAATTATGCACAGGTGATTGTTCAGAAAATTCAAACACCACAGGTTTTGGTAGGCTCTCTATTATTTTTCAACAGCTCTTCTTCAAGCATAAAAGGCTTCTCAACTATTCTAATTACTTCATTTTCATCTACAATATTTTGGGCAGACTCCTCACATTTATCATCAGTAGTAATGACCCCTAAAGTTTCTTTGTGATCAGGAAGGAGATTCTTACTGACGTTCGGCCCTGACTCATCTCTTCTCCTCAAAACTATATTTTCGGCGTCAATCATGTCTTGAATCTTATGCTTTAATGCCCAACAATTGACAATGGAGTGGTAAATCTTATTCTTGATTTTGATGATTACAAAAGCACTTTGAAATGTTTATCTAATTCTCTTCAAATATAAGTGTTTTGCTTTTTAGAGAATCAGGTACAAAAGTATCAAAGAAAGAAAATCAACCAAAAGAAGAAGCAAAAACAGGGCACTCATGTCGGACGTCCGAAAGAATGAAGAACATCAAGAAGGAAACTCCTTCGGACGCTCGTGAGGAAGCATCGGACGTCCGGGGGATCGGACGCACTCTTCGGACGCATATCGATCGCGTTGGACGTCCGAAAAATTTCGCAAAGTTTTGATGACTCTCTGGAGGACATTCGGACGCAGATGCTTTCGGACGATAAAATCCCATCGGACGTCCGAACGACAACTTGGTGAGTTTCGGACGATGGGATCGGACGATGATTAATCTGTCGGACGTCCGACAGCCCCAACGGTTAGCTGACTCTTCATCTGCCTTCTATCCGTTGGAAGCATTAATGAAGCCCATTTTTGGTCCCCTTCAAATACAAACGATTCTGAACGAGAAAGTAACTTTTGCACACTTTGACTATAAGATCTAAAGAGATATTTTAGCTAGAAAATAGTCTCCCAAGCAAGATTTGTTCTCCTAGTTGTGTGAAGTTCTTGTAAGCTCTTCTCTTGTGTTTGAAATTTTCAATAGTGTAGCTTTATTGAGGGTTATCTGAGTGATAGTAAAACTTCCTAACTTGACTAAGTGAGGCTTGGGGCAAGGAGGAAGTGATCCCTCCATTGTACATTGAGTTGATTATTGTTCATCAAAGAGAAGGTGCTCATCTTTGTGATTGGTCTTCAAGTTGGAGGAAAGCTTGGTAGACAATCGGTTTGATACTCTATCTTATTCTTTTTGTTTAATAAAATTCTCATTGCTTATATATATCCTTATTTCTGATCAACATTGTTCTATTCTTTAAATTTACTTGATTGATCTCTACTAGAAAAGAAGGTAAATTTTTATTAAGTAAAAAGTGCATAAACTCAATTAAGTTTTTAATCAACCTAATTCACCTCCCCTCTTAGGTTGTCTTTGGGCCTTACAATTAGTATCAGAGCTTGGTCTCCTAGAGATTAAGCTCAAGCGGCTTGGAGTAAAGATGACAACTAATCATGCCATGTTTGTTGAGGGGCAATCTGTCACTAGGCCTCCCATGTTTAATGGTTCTAATTATATTAGTTGGAAAGAAAGAATGATTATCTTTTTGCAATCCATTGATATTGAGTTATGGTTTATTGTGAATGAAGGACCGCATGATGCTAACATTCTTGATGCAGATACAGGTTTGTTTCGGCCTAAAACAAGAGTTGAGTTGAAT